ATCAATATTTAAAATTTTATTAAAAATTTTAAAATATGCAGGCAAATTTGCCTGTGTTACAATCTAAGGGATAAGATTTTTTTTCTTCATATATTTTACTTTTGAATTTATATATCGATAATTTTTCAATAGCATAAAAATTAAAAAATATTGATATATACTTTTCAGAGTACCAAAAATTAATTGTAATTTAATTAAACATCCGTATTTTTGTGTAATAATGACCGGGTAAAATTGTCACCCAAAAAAGTTTCGAACATCACATGACAAATATAAAGCATCAAAAATCCATGTAACCTAAACAAAAAACACAAATGAAAAAAATTTAGACTAACAAAATAATTCACAATAAGCAATAAACTAATCATTTTATTTATTTATTCAATAAATATAATATTTATTACAACCAGATTACGGTTTTATAAGTATTTGGAATATTCCATTGCCTTTTAAAATGATTATAATCCTCCCCGATTTCAAAAGTTTTTATTAATACTATCGAACCATTTGTTACTATTTGGATTCATTATGTTTTTTTCAATAATTTTTTTTGTTGCGTTCTAGATTCAGAATTATAAAAACTTCTTGCTAAATAAATAATCAGTTATAGTCTTCCGGAAGATTATTAAAAATAAAATCTACAAGGTTTTCTGCAATTGCATTTTCTTGATTAGTTTTTATAATTTTATTTCAATTTTCATTCTTTTTTATTATTAGTGGAAATTTGGTTACGGCAATCAATGTATATTTTTAGATTATCGTGTTTATTGAATTTTATGCTTTTAAAAGAATCACTTGGTTTGTCGAGATTGCAACGATCACTTTCATTTTGAAGAATCGAAGAAAATAAATCACTAAATCAATTATGATCCTAATCAACAATATCACATGATTTTCGAAACTTTTTTGGGTGGAGATTTTATCCCGGTCTATAACCACCTTGCCATATTTATAAATTTTAATAATACTAAAATAGTTAATCAAAAATTAATTTTGTGCCTATAATTTCATGTAATTTTAGTAAATATCTAATCAACTAGACCCGAATCAGTGTCTAAAATTCAGCATCAAAGCTGTGGGCGGGCCGCACATTACATATAGAACTTGGTGCGCTGCAGCGCACATAAAAATTTTTTAAATGTGCGCTCCAATATATCTGATGTTGCCAAAGAAAACATAAAATTATCAAAATAGATTATTTTTTTTTAAATTTAATAATAATCTATTAATTTCGTTGTTAACGATATGTTGCTAATTATGCAAAATATCTATCGGTAATTTATTGATTTTTAACTAAGGCGTTTGAAGTTATAATTTCGTTTAACGTTCCTTAAGAAACTTAAGCGCAGTGGGGAGGGTGTCAATTTAAAAAACATTATGTTATATTGCAAAACTAATCATATTATTGGTTTGCGTATAAGCACGTGACTAAATGAACGTCCTCATTAGCCTGTTTAATTTCGGAAGGTGGAGGGTAAAACGTTAAGCGAAATTGCAATTTCAAACAGCCTAATCTTTATCATACTATAATGTTGCATAATAAATATAGCGCACTTCAAAACTTAAAAAATATATGAATTTAAAATTTTTAATGTGTGCATTCCGCTCATAATCTTAAAACCTATGTGCGCAAAGCGCACCTATTATTAATCTTTAAGGTGCGGAAAATTTTTTTAATGTGCGCTCCGCCCCTTCCGCACATCAATTTTAGACACTGACCCGAATATTATAGAACATAAAAATAATTTTCGAAAAAACAATAATCTTCCCCAGCAAATTTCACTATCACGTAAGTGTTTGTAATGCACCAAAAATCTTTAAGTTCGTTTAAATTAGGGCAAGCGCTTACAAATAGGCTAGGTGTTAGCAAGGTAGGTAGTAAAATTGCTCAAGAATTTTATTTTTTTGTTAGAGCACAGGTGGTTTTTTATGCAAATTTTTTTGAGAATAAGCAATTTCTGAAAAACAAATGTTCGTGTTATGTTACATTAAAGTGAGACTCTATTGGATAATACTATCTACCCTCACGTGACAGTGAAATTTTGAGTGCAAAAGTTTCGTTTTTGATAGATCTAATATCCTAAATCTGTCAACGCATTTCTTGATTAATTAAAATAAGGTCACACAAAAAAATAACTTCACATATGACTTTTAAGAAGCTTGTAATAAGCAACTTTATTGTCATGCATCTAGTTTATAATAATAACTTATCCGTCTGAGCTTTCGTAATCTGAGTCTGGACTATCCGGCACAATCTCAGGTATTTCTTCATCCTCGTCGTCATCAGAATCATTATAATTTTCCCGAAACGACTTATGCATACGAGTCTGGTCTTCAACATCAAGATCCGAAATATCATCCGAACGCGCCCTTTTCATGTTTGAATTGTCATTTTTATCAGATAAGTATATCGAATCGTTAGTTGCTGTAACAATAACGTTATCGTTTTTTTCAGACAAGGTTATAATGTTTTTTGGCGGTAAAAGGTTTTTGTCGTAACTTGCGACTGATGCGAGACTATTATTGGAAGGTTCTGTTTTAGTAGGAACCATAATAGATGATGCTGTTTGGATAGGCACGACTATAGGCGATGTAGTTTGGATAGGAGCAACTATGGGTGATGCTGTTTGGATAGGCGCGACTATAGGTGATGTTGTTTGAATAGGAGCGACTATGGGCGATAGGAGAGACTATAGGCGATGATGTTTTAATAGGAGAAACTATAGGCAATGTTGTTTGTATAGGAGAGACTATAGGTGATGCTGTTTTGATAGGAGCAACTATAGACATCGAATCATTAGTTTCTGTGTTATCATTTTTGTCAGACGATATCAAATCATTCGGTAATCTTTGAAGCGGTGGCAAACGACTATGAAATATAAGGTCGCATATTGCTAATGCCTGGGTGCTAAATGATTGCAACTGTTAAACATTATGAAAGTATTAAGTGTGTTAAGCAATTAGAATAATTATTGAATCTTTTATGAAAAAATAAATGGATTACCTGTCGTGATTGCATTTAGACCAGACGAGAAAATACGTAGGGCATGAGGAAATATTGTAGATTGGAACACTGACGGAACAACAATTGAAGCAAGTAAACATTCATATAACTTTAGCTGGATGTCGCTCTCGTTCCGAGTTATACTCGAAGAGTTT